AACTTCTTTTGTAAAATAAAATTAAGTAACCTTTTGTAGATGTAGCATTACTCATAATATTGTATAGATAATAAGTTGTACTATATATATCAAGCTTGGCAAGGCAACTCGGTCCTTTATCGAATCAGCCAGCCCATCCTTTGAACTCGTTAACTTGAAGAATCAAGTCAAGCTGGCTCATTCACTTACGGAACTCTTTCCTCCTTCATCCCTTCCTAGTCACGAGTGACTCCCACACAAGGGTGTCCACGCCTCCCGTTGGTGTCGCCGCTGATTTGTGTCGTCTCCGATGGCCTTAGGGCCATGGGGACTCGATGGCAGTGGCGGAGCTTGCAGCAAAAGATTGGGCAGGCCCAACTGCTGGAGATTGCTATGGGCTATAATAATAGAGGAAATTCTACAAAACTAGGCGGATCATGACCCATGTAGCCTTGTTGTAGCTTCGCCAATACGTTGTGGATCTCGGTCCTTGCCGTCATGAGGACTCCTACTTCATTTTAGATTATTTTTTAGCTTGTTTAGAGTTCATGTCCTGCTTAAGAAGGGGCGGCGACAACTTTTTGAAGATGGAATATTATTCTCCCTGCCTAGGCTCCGGCTCAGTGGTGCCTTTAGCGTCGGAAGATGACGTGTGGATGTGTGTCTTCCATGTTCATGTGCCTATAGGTTGGACCCTTCCCATCTATGCTTCTCGTCATCGATGACGGTTGTTGTTGTGGTGTGTTGGTCTTTTGGAGTCTTAGCGTGACCATTTCCCAATTGTCTACAAACCCAACTCCGATGAGGGAGGGGCAAAGACGACGGTGTGCCTTCTGCACGCTTCAGTGTTTGTAGTCGTTGTTAGGCGGTCTATGAACATGGATGTAACTTCTATTACTTCTTGTTTTCTTTAACGCTAGCATGATGTTTGATGAATAGATCGAAAAAAATCCCCCTAGCTCGTTCACTTAACGAGTCGATCCGAGCTAGCTCCATATCCACCACAACCAGGGAGCAAGACAAAAGAGGCCCTCGCCTCAAGGGCGCTCTAAATGGGTCGGCCCAATGCGGGAGCAACGCTGGCTCCCTAGCGCACATTTCTTTCCCTCTTCTATTACTCTGTTGAAATGGAGAAATGTTTTGCTTAATTTTATAATAAAGTTCATCAAATATTTTTCAAATGTCCGTGCAGTCCAAAAAATGTTCATGCAACTTAAAAAAATTGAGGGTCTGCCTTGACATTTATAGAATATGCAAGTGTTCCAAAACAATTTCATTTAATTTTTTTAAATTGCTTATACAATGTAAAAAATCATATGATTCCTAAAGGTTTTGTACCATTCAAAAAAATGTGTGTGACCTTGTAAAGAAATTTTCACGTATTTTGAACAAATGGTCATGACATTTAAAGAATGCAATGTACAAAATGTTTGCGTAGTTTAATATTTCATGTTGTTAAAAATGTTGAATGTGTATTTGAAAAAATGGTTTAACATGTATTATAAAAATAATCCAAACATGTATTTCGAAAAAATATACATTGTGAATTTAAAAATGTTCAACATGTACAAAAAATTAATGTTTTGCTGAAGGAAAAGACCAAGAAAACTGAAGAAAGCCGATAAAAGAAACACGGAAACGAAAGAAGAAGAAAAATCATCAGAAAGGTTTAAAGACCGGCCCATAGATGCTTTATAGAACCAGTACATGATCTGCAGTATTGTGTCGGCCAATTTGATCGAGCGCCAGAGGCGAGACTACCGCATGTATCCCAATAAGCGAGAAATAGGGCATCTCCTATTTGACGCTTGTAGCACCCGTCAATGGCAAAACAGTACACAACGAAGACCCCATTCCATTCGCTAGATTTGGAAGCCGGCCTATGTACGCACGCTTCGTGAAGCTCCCATCCGGTTTTGGAAAGCTTTTAGATGCTATCTGTCTGTTTTTTTTGTGTCTTCTTTTTTTGCTTTGTTCTTATCAGGTTTTTCTTCTTTCGTTTTCATCCACTTTTCTTTTTAATTCTCAGTTCTTTAAATGCATGATTGTCTTGAGAAATTAGAATATTTTTACAATTTTTTTAAATACTCAAATTTGATTATTTTTAAATTCATGAACTTGTTGAAATTTCTAAAAAATGATAAAATTTCACAAGTTCTTCCAAATTTGACATTTAAACAATTGTGAACAATTCTCAAATTTGTGAACTTTTTCGAATTTAAGATTTTCTTTCCAAATTCATGCTTTTAATTTTTTAATGAACTTTTTCAAATGTACTTTTCTAAAATTTTATGAACTTCTTCAAAAGTCAGTTGATGAGTTAGTCAACTAGTCAACCGGTCAACTAGCGTACCCCGAGCGAGCAGCCCGAGAAATCGAGAGAGCGAGCTTCATGCTGCTGGCGATATGAACGTGCTGAATAGGATCTCAAGAAATAACCATGACAACCAAGGAGTGCCACGGTGACTTCAAGACACTAAGTAGTACTCCCTCCGTCCGAAAATACTTGTCATTAAAATAAATAAGAAGAGATGTATCTATAATTAAAATACATCTAGATATATTTTCTTTTATTTATTTCGATGATAAATATTTCCGAATGAAGGGAGTACTTTTTTTATTTTGTGCACATATTCTGAGTTCATATTTTATAGCGAAATAAGGAGGAAATACTATTGGTCGTGCTATGCGTTAGCCGTCGGATCTTTTTAAAAGTTCCGACGCTTCGGCAACTGTCAGATGTACAGCTTCTAACGTCCAACGCCATTCCCATTATTGCAACAAGGGTAGTGCTGCAGAATAATTTACAACAAAACTTATGTTACAGAAATCTTTTAAGACATAGTTGATGTTGCAGACTTTTTTTGTCTTCACTATTATTGCAATCAGGGCCAGGCCGACAAAATCCGTGGCCCTGTGCGAAACTAAAAAGTGAGGTCCTATCTGACTAAAATGAAGGACGGTGATAACTGCCACACGTGTGGGTGTTAAGGAGGCTACCCATACATTTTGTGTGATGTCTAAGAGGACCAGCCCACACGCCTACGTGTGGGCAAAACAACTAGCGCTCATACATCTCTTTTTTCCCTTGCGGTCCCTCTCACACGCCTACGTGTGGAAAAAATGCATAACGTCCACACGACCTCTCTTAGCCACCTACCTCATGGTCCCGCACGCCCAGCGTAACAGTCACCACGTGTCCCCGCAGTTGCCATGGTCCGGACCTTCTTCAATGTCCGTTTACCTGCAGTTACCATGTCGCTGAACTACAGTTGTCATGGTTGCTCAACTGCGGTTGCCATCTCAGGTCAAGTGCCAGATGCCATTTTGGACAACTGCATCTATTGCCATGTATGGTCTGGTTTATTATAGTTGCCATGATTTGAAAACTTTAAAGATGCCACCTACTAACACTAAGCAGTCGCCATGTATGGTCTAGTTTACTACGGTTGCCATGATTTGAAAACCTTAGGAGTTGCCACCTACTAACAGTCTAACACTAGGCAGTTGTCGTGTAGCGCTACAATGAGACATGGCAAAACAACATGTTCGGGTAAAAGAGAGAGTTGTCATCTGCTTACAAGCACACTAGGGCAGTTGTCGTGTACCCTGCAAAATATATGGCAACTGACATGTTCGGATAAAAAAAAAGAGTTACCATCTGCTTACAAGCACACTAGGGCAGTTGCCATGTACACTGCAAAACGCATGGCAACTGGCAGCTTGGGTATGGGAGAGGAGACGGGCGTGTGGGCGAGATGGCAAATGCCCACACAACAACCCTTGTACGTGAGTGAAAACTGGCGTGTGGGCGAACTGCTAAA